GTTGCAAACATTGTACCTGCAAGCACATAGATCTAAAATTACAAGACTTACTCTTAACCTTTTACAAAATAAATTGATCACTCTGAGATGTTAAACATAGGACTAGACGAGCTCTCACACTTTCTCTCTTTTAGACTTCAATATCATTTGCTTGATTTAACAATTTATTAGCACTTTAATTAGATCTTTGAATTATCCGACTTATGAGGCTTGCAATATCTTCTTGATTATATTCCATCATCGGGAGCTTAATGGACAATTGCAATCAACTCCCTATTTGTCAATTGTCATGAAGAACTACCAACATCCAAAAGTCATTTGACTTATGGAGTTGTCATCTTTAGAAGCTGTTTGACAATTGTCATCATCAAAACCAACCAGCAATTATACTTGTGCAACACATGGATCCACGTAATTATCATTTTCAAGAATAAAATAATAAAATAATCTACATTGGTTAAATCAATTTATAACATTCTAAAGTACTAACACTCGATGTTGTTACGCTTCATTTTGTTTTTTCTCTCACAAAAGATGGCATGATAACTATTTACCAAGGCCCTTATGCGAAGATAAAATGGGTCACAAATTTTACCATGACATATTCACATCCAACCAAGGTAATTTGTCAAACACCTCGAACCGTTTAAATTCCTCTCAACTAATTCTATACTTATTGACTAACGTTTTTTTATCTAGAATGGGTACATCTTTTGGTTACACGAGATAGCAAGTCAGGCTCTCTCCAAGCTCACACACTTAGGTAAAATGAGTCAGGACCCTAATCTTCAGCACAACAGATCCTCCTTCAAAGCTCGCACACTCGATCGTGTGAGAGTCACAACTCTCATCTTTAGTAAATTGAATCCCTTCCAAGCTCGTACACTTAGTTGAGTGAGAATCTTAACATTCTCTGCTACACCAATTTCTCGGCTAGCCACTAGGTTGTCAGGCTTAACACCTCGCCCACCTCGATTTAGAGACTACTCATTGGGCCTGAGACGAGAACATTTATGTTTCAGCCGACTTATTTGTTCTCATATACAATAGGATGCCAATAAGATTAGTCATAAAAAAATCATGATCAAAACTCAATCTTAAAGAGTCATGCATCACACGTGACACCAACACATTGATGAAACACAAAACTGAAATGACTATGTTCATTAGATAACTATATCCTTGAACGAATTATCAATATTATAGGTTTAATCAACAATGTTCATAACAAAGGATCTCTAATATGTAAAAACTGGTTTCAAACCATCACATGACTCCACCTGTAATTCTGCGGTGCCATTATGGCGTCGGACTCAGTCATTAATTGATAACCGAAGAGTTATTGTTCAAGATTGGACATTTAACTTATCAAAATTTAATACCACAACTTCAAGGTTATGTAAACTTAACACAACCACATCAAGATTATATAAACTTAACACGACAACATCTTAAAGTACATATTTCTTAATCTTAAAAATTCCACGACTAACACTAACTTGAATGTTAGATTACTTACATGTATTTGGTAGATCTCCACCTAAACTGATAAAAAATATTTTAATCAACAATACAGTGAACCTATCATTCACTGTTCAGCTGTTAACATTGTGAATTTGAATTTTTCACTTAAAACAATTAGCATAGTATTTGGACTTTAAAAACTACTCCTACACATTTTTTAAGAAGAATATAAACATTTGATTCCTAGTGTATATCCTTTTGGCACAAATTATATTAGCCTTCGTTATATCATAACAAGTGTTGCATATAGTGGAGGAAAACTGTGTGTGTAACTAAATAGTATATCAAGTTTAAATTTATACGAGAAAAGACCAACATTATTTGAACATAAGTTTATAACTATTAATAGGACTTTAAAGAGATATAAATAAAGATAAAGTTATACCGAATTCAAAACTGGTGTCCAATAACAAGTTGTTGTCAAATAGTTTCTGATGAGAAACTAAGTGTACAAATGAGGTGTATGGCCATAGTCCGTTGGGGGCATAGAAAGGTACGTAGGAGGTGAAAAAAAACTACGTGGATTGTGCGTGGACAATGGTATACCCCGGCCGGTAGAGAGAGAAAAAAATTGAATGCGAGAGAGAGAAAAAGAGCACATCCCAATTTGCGAACAACACGTTAAAAATACCAAGTGGGTCCCACGACCCGGGAGAGGAAGCTGCACAGCCAAACCAGTTCCACAATAAATACACCTTCATTCTTCACACATTAGCCTCGCTTCCTATATCTCTCCCTTTTCATCACAACGATTCTGCGGCGGCGCTTCAACAACCAAATTTTCTGTGTTTCAGGTATTTTCTTCTTCTTCTCGAAATTTACTCTCCAATGTTATACATAGCTCTGTTTCGATTTTCATTTCAGTTAGATCTATCACCTTCTAATCGTTTTCGTTCTATTTCTTAGATCTCCGTGTTTCTGTTACATAAACATCGATCCTAATTCGTTCATTCCAAATTTTTTATGTTATTTTATTAATTTCATATCAATATTGATGAACAATCCTTAGTTTATTAATTTTCGGATACTTTTGTACCTGTATATGGAACCTCCATTATTTTTATGCTCTGCGTTCAACATTCATGATTTCTCTATCAGATCTAAAGAGAAATCTCATATTTCCGTATTGTTCGCCGTATATACATGATTAACCTAATCTCTCAGTTTTATAGTTTTGTTCTTCTTTAATTTATTTTATTTTATTTTATCAATAGATTGAAATTGGTGAATAGTGAATGTATATTTTTTCTTGCGGATCTCGTATCTTCAGTTTGAGTTTCTTTATTCATTCAACTGATGTGTGCTGATGAGAAGGAACGGCTATTTGTTTTTTTGTTTAAATTTGTATCGTGTCAACATCGATTGTAACTAGATTTTGACAACTTGTTTGAAAGTTGTTTATATTTGAATTCTTTTATCCAAGTTGAGTGTAAAACTGAAACAAATCCCTTCAAGACGGCAATTTTTAATGTTGTTTAAATAATTTGGACATCACGTTAGAAGATAGGAGTATAATTAAAAAGTGAACGTGCTTTGGTAAATTCATTAAACTGTTAATAAATAATTTTCTATCTCTTTTTTTACGGGACGAATGACTTTTTTATTATAAAAAGACAGTCAGAGAATAACGTATGGAGTATATACTTTGTATTACTTGCTGGAAGCTAATAATATTGATTTTTTTCATTAAGTTTTCTATATTTATTTATTGGAAAATGCTATGAGTATTTTAAGGATATTACTTGGGTGGTCCAAATTACAATAGTACATCTCTTTGGATGAGATAAAACCATAACATAAGTTGGTTTGTTTGTCTAAAACCATATATGTTTGGCTGAGATAAAACCATAACATTAGTTGGTTTGTTTGTCTAAAACCGTATAAGTGTGGGTTGGATTAGTCAAATTATTATTTTTTCCTTAAAATTGATTTAATACTACGCAATTTTAACAAGGGTTAACGAGTAAAAATCATCACTTACAAAATAATAAATGTTTATTAAATTAAAAAATATAAAAAAAACACATTAACACAATTATAATCTATGATTTTGTGGGGTGTGAGGGTTTATTGAAAACTCAATTATTTTAAAAAGTTTTCTTTTTTTTTTTATTAGATTGAAATTTGTGTATTTAGGCTAAACATTGAAAATTAATTTTTCTTAAATAATTTGTTTATTTAAAAGATTTAAAGATAGCTGTTATGATACTCATTAAGAAAAAATTTTAGACGGAAGGGGATATTTTAATTATGGATTGTCACAACGAACTCATGACTTGATTCTTTTCTTTTTTTACAAAACTTACCGTCATTAGCTTTATTTATTAAAAAAGCTGAATAATAAAAATATAATAACGAGAGTTAACACTTAACATCCCGTGAAAAATATCCGAGTCATGTCATATTATAAAGAGTACTTGTATGCAGAGAAAAGGGTATGGAAAGTTTGGTAGGATGTACAAGCCGGGACCACTAATTATTATTTTACTAATTATTATTTTATTATGGGCCATTGATTTCTTTTGGCAACATTAATACTATATTGTTTTTTAGTTAGACAATTGATTTTATTGTCACATAAGGATACTACTCTCTCCTTGTCTATATTTATAAAATCTTTTTAAGTATATTGAAAACTGGTATTTATGTGTACGCATGATTATTGTTAATGCTAGATTACTTTAATCTGTAATAAAAATTACATTTAACATGATAATTTTTTTATAAAAATATACAATTCTGACATCTCTGCTATACTAAATATTTTGATTTTTCTATACTAAAATTCTTACTTTATGTATGTGCATCACATGTAATTACCATCTAGAGTCCCCTGTTTTGAATACAGAAAAATCTCCACGACGTGTACAAGGGTCACAGTGTTTTTGTTGTTTGTTTAGTGATGCTGATTTTCCTAGCTGTATTTTTGTGCTTTAGAAACAATGAATTATTTCCATCAGTTTTGTCTCATTCATAATAATAATAATAATAATAATAATAATAATAATAATAATAATAATAATAATAATAATAATAATAATAATAATAATAATAATAATAATAATATAATAAAGTATCGAACGTGAGGATGGACCACCACTAGGCAAATCAAATTCATGTAAGCCAGACACATAAAGTTCTCTATAAAGTTTTTCGTAGCTGAGTGATTAGAGGCTTAGAGTTGTTTATTTGGCACTTGCACATACACACACTACTTGCGGTGGAGTTTGGAGGTTCTTATTTGTTGGGATATGGTTTTAAGGATCTTATTCTTAACGGCACTAGTTTCTAATAATTTAATATAAATTAATAATTGTATAATATTAACAGTTATTATATGCAGACGCCAAGTAAATCAAAGCAAGATAATATTGAAAATTTCAGTTTTGATAGTAAGTAATGTACTAGACCTGTGTTCAGTGCTTAAAAGAGTGTTGTAATAAAATGTACTTTTGTGTTATGGCAGGTTGCTGAAGATGGGAGCTGGTGGCCGAACCTCTTTTCCTCCTTCGATCAGGAAATCAGAGAATGACACTGTGAAGCGGGTGCCATTTGAAAAGCCTCCATTTAGTCTCGGTCAGATCAAGAAGGCCATTCCACCTCACTGTTTTAAGCGTTCTGTTATCCATTCATTCTCCTATGTTGTTTATGATCTCACCATAGCTTTCTGCCTCTATTACATTGCCACTCATTACTTCCAGAACCTTCCTCGCCCGCTCTCTTTCTTGGCTTGGCCTGCATACTGGGCTGTCCAAGGTTGTGTCCTAACCGGTGTTTGGGTTGTTGCACATGAGTGTGGCCACCATGCATTCAGTGACTATCAATGGCTTGATGATACAGTTGGCCTTGTTCTTCATTCTGCTCTTTTAGTCCCTTACTTTTCATGGAAATACAGCCATCGTCGCCACCATTCCAACACGGGTTCTCTTGAGAAGGATGAGGTATTTGTACCCAAACAAAAGTCTAGTATCTATTGGTACTCCAAATATCTTAGCAACAACCCACTAGGAAGAATCCTCACAATTACTATCACACTCACTCTTGGCTGGCCCCTTTACTTGGCTCTCAATGTTTCAGGCAGGCCTTATAAAGGGTTTGCTTGCCACTTTAACCCACATGGTCCCATTTACTCAGATCGTGAACGGCTTCAAATCTATGTATCCGATGCAGCGATACTTGCAGTATGCTTTGGGCTTTACCATCTTGCATTGGCCAAAGGTCTTGCCTGGGTTGTGTGTGTTTACGGAGTTCCACTGCTCGTAGTCAATGGATTCTTGGTGTTAATCACATTTTTGCAGCATACTCACCCTGCGTTGCCACATTACGATTCCTCGGAGTGGGACTGGTTGAGAGGAGCTTTAGCAACCGTGGACAGAGACTACGGAATCCTGAACAAGGTCTTCCACAATATTACAGACACTCATGTGGCGCATCACTTGTTCTCCACAATGCCACATTATCATGCAATGGAGGCTACAAAGGCAATAAAACCAATTTTGGGAGAATATTATCGGTTGGACGAAACACCGTTTTACAAGGCATTATGGAGGGAAGCAAGAGAGTGTATCTATGTTGAGCCAGATCAAGGTACTGAGAAAAAAGGTGTATTCTGGTACAACAATAAGTGGTGATTTTTAGAGCTGCTAAAGCTTGTTGTCTCTATCAGGTGAAAATGTTTGAACTTCTCTTATTAGAATGTTAGCACTTGGAGAATAATTTTATTGAATCCTGATATTTGTAGTAGTAAACAGTATTAAGGTAGTTTGCTTGAATTCTGAATAAGATATAGCAATTCTAAACAGTACTATTGTATTTATTGCACCATGATTTGAAATCAGTGCATTATCTATCTGTTGAGAAACTTATTGTTATTCTTGTTCTTGATTTGTCTGTAAGAATTATGAATTCGCATATTCTATGTTAGACTAAGAATTGTGAATTTGTCTGTAACTTTATGTGATCAAGTCTGTTTAATAAAAAAAATAAGATGTGTAATGTAACAACCGAATGATTCATTCCAAATTTGGGTGGGGAGGATACAGATCATTAAGAATATTAGTGTTATAAATCTGCTAGATGAACACTTCGGGGCATGTAAAAATAAATGAGTCATGTAATTTCTGCTTTTACCTTGTTTTAATATGTTTCTTATCTAGTTATTCACATAATATATGGAACTATAATATTGAAATTGTGTGTTTTATTTTCTCGTAAGGAGATTAGATTAGTAGTCCTAGAATAATAACAGGGAGGTATTGGGAGAATTGTTGAGACCAATTAGAAAAAGATTAATTTAGGGATTATTTTCGTAGCATATTCAATGTACTTTTACATCACTTTAGGAAACAGAAAAAAACTTGGATTTTCGTAGCATATTCAATGTACTTTTACATCACTTTATTTTTTTCTTCTATGCAACTTTTCTTTTCTTTTTCATCTTTTCGTCCTATATTTTTCTTTTTCTTTGTTTTTATTTTATTCACATTGCTCTCGTATTATTAAAAATAAATTAACTTTAAAATGATTCAAAATATAAAATTGGTTTATAACGTGTATATATAAAACATAAAAAGAGATAAATATATTAATTTAACAAATAATGAAATTTGGATACGCAATAACTAAATCACATTATTATTATTATTACTAGCGTTCAGACGGACACTGGACACGCGAGTGTGTGAAAATTAATAATAAAAGTTACATCGAAATTATTAAGTAAATTACATGATAAAGTAAGGATAAAATTGGTAGAAAAATAAGACACACCAAAAAAAAATATTTCATTTATATATAATTATAGATTATAGAAACTGATTTATATTTAAATAATAAAATTGATAACAACATTTATATTTTAACATTTGATTTAGATTTTTAAAAGTGAAACAGTTTAGATACTAATTTAATTAATAATAATTAATTTTTTTTCACACCGTTCGATAAATTCTTAAAATAAGAACAATGTTTATTTCTAAATACACGAAGACATGAGACATAATTTATGAGTTATTGGACAAATTTGTTGTGGAGATTGGAGAGAAATATGCTGTGCTATTAATTATTGATAATGAAAGTAATTATTTATTGGTTGGTTTTCTTAAATACAAAAACGCCACAAATGTTTTGACTAGTGTAGAGAGAATTTAGTCTTATGAGATACATTTATAACCACATATTAACTTATAACCTAATGATTTAGAACATTAATAATGTGGAGTTGGTTAGACATGAAATCAAATGTTTGCAATCACTTTCCATATCTTTTTAAGGTTGCACAAACTAAAAACTAAGTTTAGAGATATGTTCACGTTTAAAGATTGGTGGAATTTCAAGTGTGATCCAGATCCTAAAGAAAATAAGAAATATTGTGTTATATTTATGCAGATGTGGAAGGAAAATCGGGTGATTATTCTTTTCAGCATGTATTTGGATGTTCTATGTACGTGATGTACAACTCCCAAGAAAGAACAAAGTTTGACCAAAAATCTAGGAAATGCATATTCTTGGGTTAGGCTGACAATGTGAAGGGGTATCGTCTTCGGGATCCCGCTGTCCACAAGATTATTGTTAGTAGAGATGTAATCTTTGTAGAAAATGAACTACAAAAGGAGCAAAAGGATGACAAAACTATAAAGGATACTACTATAGTATAGATGGAGGAAAAGTCATGAGAAAATGATTCTTCTGAAGCAGGGTCAGAGCACGAAGAATAAGAACCAACTGAGGTCAATAATGTAGATCTCAGAAGAACCACGCGTCAGATAAGAAAACCATCCTGGCACTCAGAATATGTGATGGCAAGTCATGATGCATACTGTATTCTATCAGAAGATGAAGAACCATCAACCTTTCATGAGGCATTAAATGGTTCAGATGCTTCTTTGTGGATGGCAGCAATGCAAGAGGAAATTGAAGCCTTACATATAAATAACACATGGGAACTTGTTGAACTTCCTAAAGGTCGGAAAGCCATCAGTAACAAATGGGTGTTCGAAATTAAGCGAGATGGCAACGATCAGGTGAAACAATATCGTGCAAGACTGGTGGTCAAAGGATATGCTCAGAAAGAAGGTATTGATTTTAATGAGATATTTTCTCCAGTGGTAAGACTCACCATAATCAGAGTGGTCTTGGCGATGTGTGCTGCATTTGATCTATATCTAGAGTAGCTTGATGTAAAGACTGCGTTTCTCCATGGAGAACTTGAAGAGGAAATATATATGTTATAACCCGAAGGCTTTGAAGAACAAGGAAAAGAAAACTTGGTTTGTAGGTTGGCCAAATATCTATACGGTTTAAAATAGGCGCCAAGTGTCGCTTGCGCGAAAATAAGGTGCCGGCAAAACAGAAGAGTCGCCACCTTTCGTTATTTATCCCTCAGAGCGGGAAAGGAAACGATCGGAAAAACCTGACGAAAAAGGGTAAGACAAGGTCATCGCAACCATTGTCTGGGTTCGGGAGTCGGTTACGCAAGGGGAAGGTATTAGCACCCCTCACGTCCGTCGTACTCGACGGGATCCTCGCTTGTTTGTTTACTTGGACGGGTTGGTTTTAATCTATCTACCTATCAAGGCTGGCTGAAAAAGAAAAGAAAAATGACTCGGCAAAGCATCGCGCTTTATGCCTACGTATTCCCGTCTGGAACGAGAAATCAGAGTCAACGTAGTTCGGCTAACTACGGGGGAAGATGGGGAAGGTTGCTCGCTAGGATATCGCATCCTATGCCTACGTACTTTCATCTGGTATGAAAGATCAGAGCAAACGTAGTTCGGGAAACTACGGGTTATCTCCTAAAAGAAGTGTTTTTTATTGTGTTTGCGATTTCAACCGCACTAGAGACTATGACCTGAGAGTGAATGCGTCGCATGTCACCCAAAGGGTACCATACTAAACATCCAGACTGTGGAAAAGAAACTCTCCCACAATCCTTTCTCAGATAGCTTAAGGCTCGTAACGTACGAAAGAAATCATTCATGATTACTGTATCTTAAACTGTTTCGAGATGAGAAGAGAACAGGCCCAACTAGGAGGGAGACTATCAAGTCCTACTGTTATCATGCCATGGATTCATCCTATGGTTGAGGTTTGAACAGGGAACTCCTAGATGTTGTCATGCATAGGTTTCAACCTAAAAGTCTATCATCAAATCCTCATCAGAAGAAATGAGAGTCCTAAGGGATCATATCAATGATACACCAAAACAGACAAAAGCATCAGCTTTAACAGTAAAATGCATGCAATGCAAGTGAGGGAGGAAATGTGTGTGGGGCTTCAGCCTCCACAAGCTCGTCTCGACTTCAAGCCAGTCATGAAATAACAGTAATCATACTGAAATAAACAACATGCTATCAAGCAAAAACAGTGAACTGTAATCATACAGACAGAAAATGAAATGCTATCAAGCAAAATAAACACATGGGCAAGGGAGCTGGGCTCTACCGAATACCCGCAAGCAAAGCCAAGCAATAACAATACAATCAGATGCACTCATGCTCTTAGACTGAACTTATTCTAAATGGGCTTAGTCTAATGCAACAGACAAATCAGACAAAACACACAATACATCAAAGAAAACAGAAGAAAGCCTCAGCTCCTCCAGCAGCAACCCAGTCTTCGGACTTCAGAGATCACTTGCTTTCCAGGTATCAACCCTACAACATGAGTATCAACTCATCTTCTCCCTTGAGCTTCAGCTCCTTTGATCAGCTCTACCTTCAGGCTTCACTATCTTCAGGGATCTTCAGGCATCAATTTGATCTTCACAGAGTCTTCAGACTTCCATAATCTCCAAGGAATCATCCTCTTCAAGGCTTCAGCTTCTATCTTCAAGGGCTCAAATGCTCCAGCAAACAAGATTCAGTCAACAAGATGAGGTGAGGATGTTACAGTGCTCACTGACTTCCAAAGGATGCCATTGAGGACTTAACATCAAAGGGGAATGCTCTCTCAAAGTTCTACCTCAGAGGGTAAGGTCACTAATCCCTCCAAAGGAGAGAGGTGAATACCCTCAAGGGACTCTATGTCACAGAGAAGAAAGGAGGTGAACAAGACACTCCTTGTTTATTGAACAAAGTATTCTATCTAGGGCTCTGCCTATGCACCTATCAACCTATAAACAAAACAAACAAAAGCTATGCTAAACTCCTCTGCAAGGTCTTCAAAGCTTCCATGATGATCCACAAGGTCTTCAACTCAATCTTCAAAACTCACACACTCAAAAGAGAAGGAAAGAAAACACAACAATACAACTTATGCCTTTAAGCAACACACATACTATCCATACATTCAAAAATCAATGAAAAATACTAAAACACCATGCAATATTCTAGTAAAATTCTAGGGGATTCTATACATACTTACCCTTAACCCATATATTCCCCATACACTAATTTGGCCTATAAACCCCAAAACAAATTTGTTGAAGTCCAAGCATACAACCTAAAACCCTAATTAGAGCACCTAAATGTCTAACAATCAAACTACGTCAAATTTTAATCCACAAATCAAGAGATAAATCCTACATGAAACTAGGGTTCAATATCTAACTATGCCAAAAAGAATGGCTTAAAAATCCTAAGGGAAGGTCCTAAAACAATTCTTGCAAAATAAGGTATCAACCAAAAGAAAA